TTCAGGTACTAAAGCACTCACCGTGTAGCTCTGCATGAAGGCAGAGTACGGCCCCTGTCTGTCTTTATAAAGATCAGATCTGCACACTTGCGGCTGCAGTTCTCGAAGCTGATTCCCTGCGATGTCCCCAGACCCCCTTCAAAGATGGGTTCTGCTTACGGGTTTACCCTGCCAGAAGAAAGAGGACCAGTTTTTACCTTTTCTTATCACTGGGGCTGTACCCTCAATGGTCTGCCAATTGTACCCTATAGCTGTTGGTAATTGTACCTTTTAAGGTACAGAAATGGTCTCTGAGGAACATTCCGAAGGTAGAAATAACATTAATGTGCCTCTAACTGTACAAAAAAGTCCCTCATAGTCTATTTCTGTGTTTTAAAAGGTACAATTACTTAGAGCTAAGGGTACAATTGGCAGGCCGTTAAGGGTACAGCCCCAGTGACCAGCAAAGGTACATACTGGTACTCTTGGTGTAGCTGCCTGGTCAGTCTCTCCCTTTCTTGTGACGCTGCATGTTGCTTGCCCAGCCTCCTATCGCATTCCTCAGGTAGCTCTCAGCGTGCCAGCAGATCAGACCTGGTCCTCCTTAGAAACCCCCCCCCCTCCCCAGTGTCCTGGGGGCTGCAGCTGCCAGCACTGCAAAAGGCTGTTTTTGTCACTTCACAAAGGAACCATAAGGCCACTGCCGTGCCACGGCTGGCGTGCCCTTCACCAACATGCCCCCTGATGGCATCACGGCTGGCTTTTATTTTCTTTTTAACCTTGCTGCCCGATGTGCCGCTTCGTGTTCCAGCTGAGTGTGGAATTACGCTTAATGAAGGTGAGTTTGGGAGCCCGTTCGCTGATCCTGTCCTGCATGAACGGCGCAGTGAGTAGCTCACCTAGCATTAGCGGCGGTTATCAAATTGTGGTTCTCATCGTGAGGTGATTTTCTGAAAACTTCCTACCTCCACTTGGCAAACTTTGTTATTAGCGGTCCGTAAACAAATGTTATATGAGTGTACACCCCACCCCACCACAAAATGCATTGTGTCCTTCATCACCCTGCCCCCCCCCCCGCCCCACGCTTTCGTCACTTTATCCCGTGAACATGTTCCTGCTCGGACACACACAACCTGTGGACTCGGAGGAGGAGCGGGTTCGAGAGAGCGACCCAGGGAGGGACTCCCTGAGCGCCGTGAGGGCCAGTCCCGCTCCTGTCACCCAAAGGCGCTCTGCTCCCCCCATCAGGTGCGGCCTGATCCCCCCCCCCCCCCCCCCTCTGAAATCTGAGGAGCGTTTCTGTGGAAACATACTCTTTGAATTTGCATTTTTATCTTCTCTGTGGCCTCCGTCACGGGCTCGTTCCAGAGAGGAGATGAAGTGTGCGGTTGACGCCTTGGGTC